AAATTTTCTTATGCCCACATATATTTTATTATTAAGTAAAACTCTACAAGACTATAAATACTATTTTTAAAAAGTTAAGTATTTAACTGCTTCTTTGGAGTCCATGTCTGAGAGTCAGGTTGACAACTTGTGGTTTCTGAGGAAAGTACATTAACTAGCCAGAACCTTCTGCTCAAGTCAGTACATTCTACTGTGTGGCAAGTGGATAAACAAAATGGATACATTTTGATGAACAAAGCAAGAATAGAAAAATGAAGCTTTCTGTGCATCTTGACCAAGCCTTGTGGGGCACCATGGTGGAGGGTGATAGATGGTAAAGGCTAGTATCACACACACCAGGTGTCCCCCAGGTGGCTGGTTCCTCCGAGGGGCCTGCCGCTGGGGATGGACTACCGAGGGGCTGCTGGGAGCCATCTTGGGACAGAAGTGGCAAGCCGTAAGGGCGTGAGGAATGCACAGCAGCCCCGGCATACTCAAGGACAGACTGGCCTGACACTTATGGAGCTGGGGCGAGACCACTGGCCCCTGAGGCGTGACTATGGGCTTGCCGCAGGAGGGATGTGGTATGATGGACTCTGAGCTAAGGCGCAGAGCTAGGCACTGGGTGTTCCTTTCGTTGTAAGTCACTCTCCTCCCTCCCCAACGATAATAATAAATGTACATAAAGATATGTTATATGGTTTGCCTGATAGGGCAAGAAACCCCAAGAGAACTCTGATGACACAGGATAGTAGGAATCTTTGTGGAGACAGATTCTATGCTCTCCTAAAGCCATAAAAGAGCTATGTGGGGAAACGGTCTTATTCTCAATATTAAGAGCAAAGCACAGTGCAAACCACCTAGAATATGGTATTGTAAAATGTTCAAAAAGTGATTCCTTCTTAGAACCTAACACCTTGATACCATAGGTCCTCTATAAGTAAAAAATTAAGATCATGTGAGGCCTAAGTCATTAATCTGGTAAGGAGAAAAGAAAGATACGGGGAATGTGAAGATCCCATGTCAGGTGCTGAGCAGAAGGCAGCCTTCCTGGTACCTTCCTGCCCACCTTCCTGGTACCTTCCTGCCCACGCTTTCTGCCTCAGAACAGACCCAGATGAGCATGCATTACCACTTAGAAACTCTCCTGGTTGCCAGGGAGTAAACATCAGGAAAACTACAACAGGAGATCAACCAAGAGGCTTCCATTTCTGAGAATGTCTCCCAAAACATTAGCAATATACATCTTTACTGAAGGTCCCTCAAAATATAGAAGAAGGCACCTCAAAAACATCAAAATAAGCATCATTTTTAGTAGCTTGATCTGTATTATGAAATCACAAAAGAGGGACACATTGTAAATGAGAAAGACAAATCAGACAATTCTATTGACCTTAGTATTTCATTGTGATAAACCTTGGTAAACTGTGTTCATAAAGTTGCTGAATAAGTTCTATTTTAATTCACATACAGGTAGAAAATTCAAAGGAAAACTTATTACCATCAGAAATCTGCTTATGCTTTCTAACTTTCCTTTTAGGCATGCATATAGTGGGGCCTGAAAACTAGATATAAGAAGGAAGAAAGGAAGGAGGGAGAAGGGAATGGAAGAGGGTTGCTTAACCCTTCTTTTGTTGAGCAATAAACTTTTGTGTAAGAGAACACAAAGGAACAAAGAGATGATGATAGCTAAGTGGCTTTCAGCCTTTAGGAGACAATGAAGTCAGCCTGTGACTTTCTAGCACTGCAGTTGCTCACTCTAAGGCTACTAGAATGAGCTCCGGTGATTCTAGTGCACAACCAAATTTGCGGTCCATTGTGGGAGACAGGCTTGAGCCTAGGGTGAAAGTCTTGACAGCCATACAACAGGCCCCAGGCAATGGCCCTACCGCTGGAGCCACAAGGAACGCCTTGTGATATTTGCTCCCTTTGGCAGATCATGAGACTGATGCCTAGAGCTCGCCACTCCCTAATCACCACCCTTGGAATCTAAAATTGCAACACTTAGATATTGCAACAGTCAGGGTCATGTGGTTTCCAGGAATCCAGGCTCTGTAATGTGAAACCCAGTATGCTAATGAGGCATCCTACCCACTATTCTGTGATAGGACGTCTGTTATGCTAATAGGTTGCTAAGTCTGTTATGCTAACAAGGTATCCTACTTGCTGTACTGTGATAGGACGCTAAACCTGTTATGCTAATAATGTATCCTACTTGCTGTGCTGTGATTGGACCACTACCTCTATACAAGCTTGTGCCTTCCTGCAATAAACCAGGCCTGTGTCACTGAACCTGGTCTCCTGTGTCTGAATGTGGCTCCTCTGACACAGTCTCCTCACCAGCCCTGGGGTCCAGGACTGGGCAGAAGCGGCAACGACAGGAGGCAGCACAAGGCAAGCAGAAGAGCAGCCTCAGCCCAGGGCAAGCAGAGGAGCAGCCTTGACACCCATGAGAATGAAGGAGTGGCACCCATGAGAACAGAGGAGTGGCTGCCACTGGTGGTGACCACAGTCCATTCCACAGATTCCTATTGTGGCAGCTTCGTGTTCATGAAAGTCATGTAGTTCTGGAGAACTTTAACAATCCCAGGTTGAGGGTAGACTTAAAGAGCCAAGAACTGATAAAGAAAGATAGCTCCCAGCCTCTCTCCCCACTGGAAAGATGGTGGCTTTCATAATTTCTGCCTTCTGTGAATGGATGATGGATATGAAATCCAGATCAGGCTGAAAACATACCTTCAGTCTAGCAACTCCTGAAAACAATCTAGGGCTCTCCAAAGGTGGAATAGCCGAGAGTGTTAGGAGTTTATTTGAACGTCTTCATTCCCAGATGAATGATTACTGCAGGCACTAACCAAAGGGGGTATTTAAAATGGAAGATTGAGCTTCACTATTATATGGTACCTTCAGGTATATTAATAATTTATCTATAGGATTCCTAGTGAAGAGTGGCAATACTCTAATAGCAAATACACTGGCTTTTGGAATCTAGAGCCTTCTGGGATTTGTTATTAGACTTGGTTCATAAAATCTTGTCATTTTTCTGGAGATCACTCAGTTGGTGAACTGCCACCCAAACATGAAGATGTACATTCAGATCCCCAGCACCCACATAAAAGGCCAGGTGCAGTGATGCACATCTGTAATCCCAGTGCTGGGGAGGTAGAGACAATGGATCCCAGAGCTCACTGGCCAGCCAGCCTCCCCGAACCATTTAGCTTCAATTTCAATGAGGCCCTGACTCCAGAAATAAAAATCAGGCAGAGAGCAATTGAGGAAAACATTCAATATAAACTTCTGGCTTGCATATGCATGCATAAATGTGTACATCTGTATGAACAGGTGTATTCACTCACATGAACATGAACATACACTCCCCACAAACACACACACACACACACACACATCCCCCACACACATAATCTTGACATTTTTTTTTGCTGTATTTTGAATGAAAACTCTGGAAGATCAATGAATGGGAATGATAACCACTTAAATAACCAATATACTGGATGCTACAAAGAACAGCCATGTGAGTGCTCCCAGCTTGTCCCTAAGGGAATCTTTCATAAACACAATGTGGCTGGATGTAGTAATTTTAATCCCAGCATTCAGGAGACAGATAGGCAGATCTCTTTGAGTCTGAGGTCAGTCTGGTCTACACAGTGAGTGCCAGACCCGTCAGGACTGCATAGTGAGACCCTGTTTCAAAAAACAGACACCAAACAAGCGGGGTTATGGGAGGGTACCAGTGGGGATGGGGGTATAAAGATGATTAAGATTGTTTGAGATGTTCTGTATGAAATATACACACGCACACAAATCAATAAAAAGCCCCATAAGCACTATTTGTAGTCATATCTCTGCTCCCAAAGGAGAGGCTTTATTCATACTTACTCAACAAAGATGATTCATCCATTGTTATGGTCTAAATGATGTCCTTTTGCCATGCCTCTTTCCCAGATTCCTAATGTGAGAACCCTGACCCTAGCATCTCAGAATGCATCTATCTATGGAGCTGGTAATTAGGCAATTAAGTTAAAAGTAAGTTTTTTTTAGGGGGGGGCTCTAATCCAATATGACTGATAAAATAAGAGGGCAGAAGAAGGGCTCTATGAAGACAGAAATCATCTGCAAACCAAAGAAACAGGCTGCAGAAGAAATAAACTCAGCCAACACCTTGACCTTGAATGCACAGCCTCCAGAACTATAAG